TAGGTGTGGCGGTGTTCCAACAACTGACGAAGGGTGAACACATGATCAATGCATCCACGACCTGAACGAAACCCAGCCTGCTCTTTGCGAATCAATCCTTCACGTATTTTGCACAGCCTGAGAAGCAAGACAGCAGCCAATATTTTAGACGCGACTGATAACCCTATGATTGTCACAGGAATTACGTCGACCCTTTTTAAGGATTGACATAGGTAATTATTTTCGATAATTCTGGCTTCAGATTGTGCAGAGACACACTGATGAATGTTTCTCATAAAATCGATAGTAAAATATATGATGGGAATTTTAATGAGCGTCATGTGTTGTGGAAGAATGATAGTCAGTGGGTAGTAATAACTTCTATAAATTGTTGAATCAGTAATAAAGGAAGCATTTTGGATGAGGAGGGGAAGGGAGAGTATGGAGAGACGGTAGGATGGATAATAAATAGATGGTGAACATCAAGCAAGTCGAGTATGAATTGACTACATGATTCCCAGAGATAACTTCAACGCTTGAATGCAGAAGTCCCTTATCATCTGACATATTTCTGAGGTCTGTTGATTACATCAGGTGTACGTATGAGTACGATGAGTAAAACCAATAACACATTTAGGTGGATAATTCGTCGTCCAACTCCGAGTGGTCTTCGCTCTTGAACAGATTGTAGGAATAGATTTTAACGCTGAAAGCTTCATCAACGCTCCAGTTATACAATGGACGCATACAAAGTGATAAAACAACCATACACACGAAGTCAGTTGACAGAAATTCAATTTACCAAACTGTTCAGGTTCATGTTGAATTTTGTATACCATATCTGAAAAGACAGAAAATGATAACTGATATTAAGAGATTATGCAAACGAATAGTTTCTAGTGCAGCAATGACCGCTGAAATTCATGTGGATTTACCTCACAACCTCCTGATTCTGTGGTATACTGAAGAATAATTTATCAATCTCTTCTACTAATTATTACAATGCAATTACACTGACCAGGCGGCAACATGCAGTTATCGTGAAATTTATTATTCCTAATAACGGCCAAAGATGCGATTGGTTCCTTTCAAACATTTACTTCCTGTGAAGTTGTTTTCAGTCAACTTCTGAATTAACTTCTCCATCGATTCCATGAAATCTTCATTCCATCTGAATGGCTAGCAGACGTCATCTGCCTACGGTGCAAAATCGGCGCCTAATTGCTTTTGATTAATGTATGACTTTAGCGAGTGTAGTGCATGGTTTCAAATCCAACTAGTGGAAAATGAGTAGGTCTAACTGGATTGAAAAGATTTATGGCTGTTATGAGCATCTCTGGAGGAGCAGGAGAGAAATTCCCTGAACACATATCCTTCTTATTTACTTCAGTAAATCACATTCCTCTCAACACTAAATTAGTGAGAACTCTTAACAGATAATTGTTTCAAGTCTGACAGTTTAGGCACATCATTGCAAGATTTCACTAAACTGTTCTTGTTGCAACTATGTCGTATCTTATTCAAATGTTGAATGTTTTATGCAAGAACAATAAACAAAGGTCATTTCATAACAATGTGAATAAGAGTAATATGTACAGCCGGTTCGAAGCGCAGATAAAGAGGGACGGCTGGATGTGGAGATAACGACCCTATAACACAAAACCGATTAATCCGATATTAAAGCTTTAATGCATAAAGAAAATACTGAAAATGCGAAAAATATAAAACACAAACCTATTATCTGCTGAAGTTGGAGAGGCGAATTGTCTCAGGCTGTTGGAAAACTTCGAGAAAACAATAAGCCAGCCGGTGTGACTTCTCTCGATGTAAGCGAGGATAAGAATAGCACCGTGGAATGTACGTACAATATACAAGGCTGAGAAGGCTGTCCAGGCAGTCAAAGAAATTGTCATCCAGAGAGTTAACAAAATAATCCAGGCTAGTCACCAAGATGGCTACCACGAAAACACTGAGGCAATCAGCAGCAATCATGATGTCACCAGTAGCAGCCAAAGCCCTAATGCAGAGGAAACCAGTTCCATCCAGGATCATGACAACAAGGAAGGAAGGCAAGTAGGTCACAATTATCATGCCATGCTAAGTACACTGCTACAAACAACGCGGAACAAGAGAAAAAGGAAGATTTCCATGGATATCTAGGAACAGTAATGGACACCGTCTCAAATGGTGACATTGAAATCCTCATGAGCGATATGAATGCCAAACCGAGAGCAGGTGATATAGGAAGAGAACTCATCATGTGTCGAGAGGCAGTGGCTCAGCGAAATCAATGAGAACTGAGAATTATTCGCAGATTTGTGCACCTTCACTAAATCGGTGATTAGAGGCAGTGCGTACAAAGTTAAGGACATACACAAGGCAACATGGATTTCACCTGACGGAAATAACCCAAATCAGATAGACTTCATCTCAATGTAGCTCAAGAAAGTGGAGACGCAGCCTGCTTGACACAAAGTCAAGTTCAAGGAACTTTCAAGATGAGGCTGAAATTCATGAAAACAGAAGGAGACAGACCACAATTCAAGTTCAACACTCAGAAAGTGAAGGACAAAACCACAAGAGATTCCTTCATTGCAGACCAGATCAGAGCGAAATTGGAGACACTCCATATAGGAATGACTGAGGAAACCTGTGTGAAGGAACACTGGACTTCTCTGAATTTGGTGTTCAAGGGAACGTGTAAAACTGTTCTAGGAAGAAAGAAGAAGAGAAAAGACAAGGAAAAGCTCTCGACGGACACCTACCCCGAAGCTAATTGAAGAGAGGGTAGAGAATGGTGAAAGAGAAGATGACTCAATGCAAAGATGGAGAACAGTGGGAGAAGCTGAGTTCAATGTGCTCTGCACTGAACAAAGAAGTGAGGAAGAGTGCTACGAGAGATTTAGGACGATTCCACGACACACTGGCCGGCAACTGAAGCAGAACAGGCAGGCCACGGTTAAAAGAGACCTCAGGACATTATATGAGATAACCATGTATCTGTCCGTAAGCGATCAACGCAGGTTGACCAGGAAGTAATTTTAAAACTGCTTCAGCACTATGGCATGTAGTGCTCATATCGTTAACATCCTCATCCAACACCTATATGACAATGCGATATGTCAGGTGTTCCACAACGGAAAACTCAGCGAGGCTTTCAGAGTGAATACAGAAGTAAGACAAGGCTGGCTGCCTATAATCCCCAATGATATTCCTAATTGTGCTGTCCTGGATTATGAGTCAGGCAGTGCGTGGGAGTGAGAAGACAGAAATATGTTGGACCACCGATAAGAATATTAGAGAAGATATGCACATCGAAGATAAATCGTGTCTAATGTCACATATACTCAAAGACTCACAGGCGAAAACCAACAGGCAGCGAGGACGGAACTCCAGGTGAACAAATTGAAGACGGAGGTGATGAAGATAATCAAACGATCAATGGCAACAACAACCAGCAGCAATCTCGATCAACAGGAGACATTTGACAGAGGTTACTTCCTTCACTTATCTAGGAGGCAGAGTTTCAAGCACAGGCGGATGTTAGGAATGAAGACGTCGAAGGTGGCTGGAATCGGAAAGGCAAGACACTGTTCCATCAACCTGAAGGCAGTTTGCAAACCTACTGCACTCAGCCAGCATGAAGAACAAGATTCGGATTTTCAACACAAATGTGAAATCGATTCTCCTGTACAGGTCAGAAACTGGCGCTACATGTCACGGAAAGTATTTCCGACAAGTTACAGACTTCTATCAACGGTTGCTTACTATGCCGCCTCCATACTGAAGATCAAATGGCCGACCAGCCAGAAACAATTAGCAACAATACACTCTGGCCAGAGACAAACCGGACAAGAGCCTATTGCCCAACAAAAATGTAGGGGAAAATAAAGATGGGTTGGTCACACGTTGAGGAGGCCGTCGAATGACATCGCACTCAATGTAGGCCATCACTCGATTGAAAACCGAATGGGAAAGGATGAGTGGGTTGTCCTAGTGAGACATGGACGAGGTTATTCGAGAAGAAGACAGTACAAAGTGGAGATGTTTTGTTGAAGTCCTATGTTCCACTCGAAACCCAAGAGAATAATAATGATAATAAAGTTGAAATAAATCCTGAAACTCACTCATGAATAATTCTAGTCCATATACGTTTTCATAGAACTTTCTCCAACAGCTGATATCTGGAAGAGTTTATTAGTCATCGAAATTCGAAAATTATTAATCACTCACAGCTCTCAACGCTGTCGTTGACTGTTCCTGCAGTTGCATTATTGATCTTATCTAGTAAAAGAGAGAAGTAGGAAGATCGATTGCATGAAACCGGACATATTTATACAATTCAACATTTACTATGTACAAAACAGCGAGCAAATTTGCTATTGTTGGAGCATGCCAACGCCGTGTTGTATTCACGGAGTGAATGTCATGAACGTGAACGTGTGAAGTGTTTCCGATCGGAGTGAATATGAATAAATGTGAAGTGAATTAAGAAACCAGGTAGACGCTTGTTGATGAGTTCACCGTCATATGATATCTTCACTTGAATCAGTCTCAAGTCAATTGACTCCATATGATCTCAATATTAAAAAAGTAAAAGATTAACAGGAAACAGCCTTTGGGGAAAATCTCTTGAAAAGTATAACAAATATCTAATGGAAATACAAGATGCGGAAATCGAGAAGACCAAGTGAAATCATAAAATCACATGAAATATTTGTCTACCTTTCTGTCGTTTAATCTCCCCTTCACTGATGAGAATCGACTGAGCTAATCTGGGTAATTCATCTGTGAAGGAGAAAGCGATAGTTATTTTGAATTACTAAATTACTAGAGAAGCGACAAGATGTGACGAAGCGTCAAAGAGCAGTACCTACACACAAAAGCTTGTGTAGGATAATATCAAAAACCCATTATATATATATTCATATCAAGTCAATCGTCTTACCTCGAGAATTCAAAAGCAACTTCTCAATGTCTTCTTCTATCATGGTCGATTCACCTTGAAAATCTGCAAAGCGAAAGGAGCATCCATTGTTATACAAACCAAAACTTGTTGAATAACACATGAATACGATCCGAGAATTTGTTCATTTCAAATGCCTTTAGAGTCATTTGAGTATTTGATGTATTTGATCGCAGATTTGAAACACGCTAGTTAGCAGAACGTCAGTTGGAGTATTCGACGTCAGTGAAAGCATAAAATTGAAATGTTCACTCCAATCACGTTCCATTTCGGAAACGGAGAGATCACGAACATAGAATTATAATTCATCAACGGAGGAAAGTGATGTGTTGAGGTGATAGTGAAAACTGTGTTGGAGACACAAGCAGCTTTCGTTCAGAAATATGATCAGGATAAAATAGTAAAATTCAACATAATGTAAAACAGGTTTATATGTGAATAGATTAAGTCACAAATGCACAGTCATTTCAATATAAACTTACCTTTGCTTACGGCAGCAAATACTAGCAGCGTTATAGCAGGTATGTGAATGTACATTGAGCTGAACATATTCTCTTCTTCCTGGCTATACTCTCCAAATTTTATACTGCTATTGGTAGTGAGTCAAACTGTTGCAATCAAATTGTTGGTTCATAAAATTAGTAGTGCTTATTTGTTCATTTTTCATTTGTTCAAATAGGTCAGTGTGGTAAGAGTCATAATTGGTGGATGATTGAGTGAGCACACGAGTGAATGAGTGGGTGGCTGTTCAGAGAGCAGAGAATAAACTTGTTTCGAAGCTGGAGTGAATATTTTATCCCGTATACTACAAGTCAGTCTAGCGACAAAGTTCTTACTAGATGTTGATGAAACATAAGGATGTAGGCAATAAGCACTCATCTGCCTGAACGAAATGTTCATTTTCTAAACATATGGTAGAAAAGATTGTCGAGAAATCAACATTCAATCAATAATCATAAACCATCATAAATGATGTTTGTGAATATTTGCCACATCGAAATCCCTTTCAGAATGTGGAGACGCATTCTTTGAGTACATGATTGAAATTATTTTATTCATTATGATGTGGTTTTCTTCTTATAAATCTAAATATTCCATCCGACGACTCTCTGCTGATTACCACTCTCACGTTACTCAACTCCCATAATTTCACCATGTACTAGCTCTTGGTCTTATTCCCTTCATCATCTGACATTGATGCCAAAATATTCTCAACGCTGTAGTCCCTTGATTGATTCCGGCTAATTTCAATGTTCGGGGTGCCAGGAAGAGAGGATAACATGGTGAGAGAATATTCTTTCTCATATTAGTCAATCATAGCAGAAGTTATTGTGCCAGAGACTCGACGTTCATCCATATATATCTGTATATAAAACGACTTGTTGAATACGAGACTGCAGTCTGTTCAACTCCATTCTTCGTAGCTTGACATTTGCGCGTTTAATCGATTTTGAGAAATTACAGAAGATGAACATGAGTGTTCAGCGCTCAGTGTGATAACTATTTCATGGTATTTTTTGTTTCCCTATTTTACATGACTTTTTTATGATAACAGCTTGATTTCACAAAGTATTTTTGATACAAGTATGTAATTTTCAGCATGTGATATCGGTTGCCAAAATTTTGCTGGCCGATCATTGATATCAGATGTGCGTCGCCAGGGGATCGCAGCCGGGACCATCTGCATGGTTGATGAGAATCCTAACCAATGTGCCTCTCAAGACAGACCGTGAGACATTGTGAGTGATATTGCTATTGTGTGTTGAATCACTTCTCATGCTGAGAAGATGTGATGTGAATAGCTACTTCGACGCGCCACATACTATCATCATATCTCACAGACATCTCCTCGGATACTTCACTTCTCTACTCTGTTTAAACAGCATGATGCCAATTGTGTTAAAAAGAAAGAAGCAAAGTGAGGCGAAGTGAATGAGAATGTTTGTGTGATTTCTGAAAATCTACAAAATACACAGGAATTCAACCTTAATAATAATGAAAAGCATTTCCTGTAAAACAACAGAGTGGTATGGGGGTGAAACAGACTACAAGAAATACGTTCGCATATGCAGACTAGTGATTATTGATTTAAAATAGTGCTGATGGTCTAATTACTAAAAAAGCTATCGTCGTACGAGTGAATAGTAATTGTTTCCAAAATTAATCTAGTTGTAATTGAAGGTGATAGAAATTCAACAGGTCACTTCGTTAGTCAATAATTTGTATATTGATTAATTTAAAAGTTTACCTTATACAAATAAAACTATCCGGATGTAGTAGAGTAGTAGAACTTCCAGTAGTCTTAGTTGCAATAATGATATTCGCTGATATGTTGACGAAGAGCCACAGGGATATGAGTGAACATTATTGCTGGTTTCATCTCTTTCCTTACCAGGAGAGATATTTGATTAACTCGTTGAGAGTTCAGTCAGTCGACTGCATCATCACAAATGATGTATGTGAATATATCTGCCACATCAAAATCCCTTTCAGAATGTGGAGATGCATTCACAGCTTCAGATAACCGAGGGTAATTTATATTCACTTGGATGACATTTTAATCTAGACTCACTCGTCACATTTTGATTGTGACTTTAGTCTGTTTCATATCATCTATGTGGTTTGATGGATATACCACGCACCATTCAACATGCATGACGTTTGTCAGATGACTCTGGAAGGAGTAAGAATTGTGTTTTCACATTTTTAGAATATCCTGCTTACATCAGTGTTCCGTGAAATATATATTCACTAGGTCTTCCTTCAGACTTATTACACGGGAAACACAGATTGATCGAAGTGTTGAGCAACTCCAGAACTCCTGAGGACTATCGTAATAATCTGTGAAACAATGAACGCCAGTGCTTGACAGACTCTTTGTTTGGTCTCGCGGAAAGCCATCAACAACTGGCATGACCAATCGACTGCTTGATCAGTTGGAACATTCAAAGACCAATACATGATTTCGTTTACTAACGAATTTTCTTATGAATACATAGATTGACATGGATGTTTACTATCTGATCATCACTGTTCAAATGTTGACCGAACACACTCCACATAACACGCCTAAATATGCCACACAAGATGGATGATGTTTGCTTTGAATCTACGATGGTGATTGCCATCTCTCATCATATTACCTGGTGTATGCATTTTATTGTCGTTTCACTGTCCTATATTGATGAATTCATTCATTCTGGCCGATTTGCACGAAGCTTGAATTGTGGATGAATTCACCCATGGTGTGAAGCCATTGAGCGGTATTTTGTCGTCGACAGGATAGGAGAGTGAAATGATTCATTTTTTAGACAGAGTTACGGTGAAACACAGACGGCATAATATTGTGAGACGATATTCTGTCTCATAATAGTCAATCGTGATGTGGCGGTCGCTTCTATTAGCTGCACATAAACAGAAGTTCATCGGAATGAAAACATCAAATAACCGGGTGATGCATCTGATGTCAGAGAAGGCAAGTGATACAGCGTTATGAAAATACACGAGAGACGTTAATAGAACACAAAGAAACACGACGTGAAGTCCAGAAGTAGCACAACACGAAGATCTGTGCAAATGGTGCATTGAAGATAAGGTGTGTATAAGCTGGATAAATAGAGAAACCTGTTTGCAAAAGAGCATTTCTTTACCAAGTCTTTAGTCCTCAATCGTTACAATAAGACAGAGGATTGAGTCAGTGATTCCACTTTCATATACATATATAACCATACAACGACTTGTTGAGGGAGAGTCTCCAATCAGTCGCTCCTCATTCCGAGCAGCATGACATTTGCACAGTGAACTGATTCAGAAAAAGTAGAAAACGAGAAATATATGTGTTTGGTACTCAGTGCGATAATTATCTCACAAACATTGTTGAAATGCATTCAAAGAGAGAACACGAGACAATGTGAGTGATGTTGCTGTTGTGTGTTGAATCAGCATTCTCACTGAAAGTATGTGATGTGAGTAGTTACGTCAGTGCCTCAAATCATATCAGTACATTATACAGAGGAACCTGAAACAAATAACCTCCTTTACCTACCGACCTGGGAAGCATCGTTTCAACTACAGGCCGGAGGAACTGACGAGGATATCAAAGCAAGAATCGGAAAAGCAAGACAAGCTTTCACTACTCTCAAGTCTGTGTGGAGGTCAACAACACTCAGCATGAAAAATAAGATCCGGATTTTCAACTCCAATGTGAAGTCAGTGCTACTTGCAATACGGATCAGAGACTTGCACTGCGCGTCATAAAGAGCATCTCAAACAAACTACAAACCTTCATTAACAGTTGTCTTCTCTCAATACTCAAGATCAGATGGCCAGAAAAGATCAGCAACAGGGATCTTTGGGAACGAACCAACCAGGAACCGATTGTGAAACAAATAGGCAGGAAGAAATGGAGATGGATTGGCCATACTCTGAGTAAACCATCAAGTGACATCACTAGACAAGCCATTGCTCGAGTGGAACCCGAAAGGGAAGCGGCGAGTTGGTCGTCAGTGCAACAGCGGATGACTTGGATGAGGTCATGTGAAGAGGAGATGAAAACGTGTGGGCAGACTTGGAGCTAGGTGAAGACTCTAGCAGAGAACAGAACGCAATGGAGACGCACGGCTGAAGCCCTATATTCCTGTAGGAATTAAAGGATACAATAATAATACATCATACAGACACCTCCTCTGATGTTTCTATGCGATACAGTGAGATCCTTCACTTCTCTACTCTATCTAAACAACATCATGCTGATTGTGTTGCACAGAAGTGAAGTGAAGTGAAATTATTGAGAATGTTTGTTTGATTTGTGAACATTCACAAAATACACAGGAATTCGATCTCATTATTATTATTGAGGAGTATTTCAAGTCACAGGATTTATCAGGCTATATACTTCTCTGATAAAATCAACAAAGTGGTACGACAGTGAAACAGACTACAAGAATTATCTCTCTCATCTGTAGGCTGGTGATCATTGATTATTATTAGTCCTGATTTGTTGGTGGTCTAATTACTAAAAGCTCTCATCGTAGAATTCAATATTTCACGTTCTCAAAGGCAACACTGTTGTAATTATAGCTAACAGAAATATATAATGTGTCACTTTCTTATTCAATATTTTGTATACTGAATATTTTGAAATGTCACTCTACATAATTTAAACTATCTATTTGTAAAAATTTCCATGGACAAATGACCTTCAAATAAACTGATTTCAATTTATGTAAAATTTTTGACTATATATTTTGATGATTAATAAAATCCGAATAAATCTGAGTGAATGAACATAGACTATGCACGAAACATCCACCTAGAAATGAAGTAGAACTAAAAAGTCTAGAAAAAAGATCGGCTATAGCAATGCATGCGATAGACAGCGGACATAAGATTGATTTCGACAATGTCGAAATTCTTGGAAGAGGATTTCATTCACATAAAGAAAGATTGACTTCTGAAGCCTTGCACATCTTAACCACATCGAATGCAGTGAATAGGAAAGATGGGATAGACTTATCACTTATATGGCAAACTCTTATGAAGCAAGATAGATGAAAA